ACGTTCAAAATGTGTAGATTATTATCAATCAAAATAGTTATTTAATGATTTGATTTAAAAATGTATTCGATTTCGTGTTAAAATAAATGGTCATGTAATATTTTTTTAAGTGCTATTTTTTTTTTTTTTTTTTTTTTTTACGAACAAACTTCTTTTGAAAAAGTCCATATATTGTGCAAAATAAGGATTATAAATTTTTTTTTTTGTTTTGTTGCTTATTGCGGGGCGGTGACGGGTAGTGGATATTTATTTAAGTGTCACGGTGCGTACTGGATAAACGGTTTCACTGATTTCCGAACAAGTTCCGATTGCCTACGACCCACGTATATTTATTCTGTTCCTTACTGACGTTATACATGCCGTACCGGCAAAATGCGCGGTATTCAAGCTGGGTCGTCGGAGTAAACGAATAACCCATTTTGACTAGCACCAAATATATGCGAACTTTCTTGGCTTTTATGGCGGCCACCAGCAACTCCGGCTCCAGCGAACATCCGTTCGACAATGCCAAAATCAAGCATTCCTCATGACCGTTTTCCGCCGCCGCTACGGCCGTGTCCAGGTATATCGGACACCCCTGTACCAACGCGTATTCCAAACACTTCGAGTGACCGAATTCCGCGGCCGCGCTGCATGTACGTGAGTCCCACGGGCATCCGTTTCGCCACGCGTACTGCAGACAGTCCAGGGCACCGTGTCTGGACGCGGCCATCGGCGTTCTTTCGTCCCAAGCGCAACCGCTGGAGTGTAGGTACGCCAAACACTCCAGCTGACCGAAGCCCGCGGCGAACATTGTCGTCGTCTCGTCACAGGCGCAACCCTTGAGGCGCACGTACTTCACGCAATCCACGTGGCCGCCCATCACCGCTAATTTCAACACCAGACGTTTGTCCCAACAGCAACCGTTCTCCAACGCGAACTTCAAACACTCTAATCGACCGTTTCTCGCGGCCTCGTGACACGTGTTCTCGTTCCACTGGCAGCCGTTGGTCCGCGCGTATACCAAACATTCGAGGTGACCATTGCTGGCCGCAGCTGCACACACATTGCTATTCCACCGAAATCTTCTCCAACGGGCCATCTCCAGGCATTTCAAATGCCCGTTAGTGGCAGCCAATGTGCACAGCATGTATGGGTCTCTTATAATTGCTTCGTCTTCTTCATCCATACACTGTCCCTCACGTAACCTTACATATATCTGGCGGCAGCACATCTTCTCATCCATTTCGTCCTGGCTATCAGAACTGTCAGAGCTGCTATCCATTAAGCACTTAAAGTACGTGAAATTCAATAGCTTTTGCAAAGTTTGCATCGGTCGACCGTATAGGTATACAACGCAATAACTGAATTGATTAGTCGGCCTTCTCGGTTTTCGAGACGGGTATTCCAGAAGTGCACCGATACTGGAAATCCGCCTGAAAATCGAATACATCAGCTAAATATCGTAATTGGATGTAATCGGGTCCGATCGCAAAATGCGTGTTTTAGCGCATAGGGTTTACAACCTCTCCAAGTAACCCCGGTCCATAGAGCCAGGTGAGCCAACTCGTTAGGAAATGGACGGTTTACTGCGACATCAGTCGGCCAGACGACCGTCGATATCGCCGCGTAACCCGCCGTCACATTTCGACTCAAAAATATTGTACAGCACTTACTCGCTATTAATAGGGCCCGGAGTCTTATACATGTTTGTAGTTTTATTTATTACATTAATTAGTATGTCCATAGGCAATTTCGAATCTCAGCCTAATATTTTGACATGCTCAATTCGAGTTTGCATATTTTCACTCGTTCAAAATGATTTTGTTTATTATGACGTATAGTTGATAATTTCAAAAATTTAATGCATTTATTGACAAAAAAAAAAATATAGTATTGAGTTAATGATACTAGTATCTAACATTATTAACGTATATTTTATACACTTTCTTACATTAATTTATTAAATCAAAAAGGCAACATAAAAGGTAACTTGTGATTTTTCGATTAAATTATTTTTTCTGGTAGAAAATGTCGTCCATGTTTTTATAAAATAATGAAATCGTAAAATTTTAAGTTCTCCTACGTTGTTTTCTACTTAAGTGCTGTTATTAAAAAAATTGCGTCGACAACTTGAGCTTTCAGAAAAGATGCTACACATAAAAATCAGAGTAAGTTTACTAGGAAACAACGTGACTACAGTCTAGAACAAAGTAAAAAATAAAAAGAAGAAATAAACAGCATTGTAAAACTCGCTACCTTCGGAATCTAAAAAATCAATAATTAAATGCGTCACTTGGAGTGTTATGAAATGTATATTGTACGACCAGTTTTGAATTAAAAATTCATTGTTAGGTAAAATCAAAAAGTCAAAAAGTAAAACGCAACTGGATATAAAAAATTAAATAATGGAAATCAAAGGGAAAAAATTATACAAATAGGTCATTTTAAGTAGAAATAATTTATTTTAATAGGAGAGATTATTTAAAATGGGTTATTATTAGACATAGATATGTGAAGAAATATAGACTATTTGATTATTATTTACTATCTAATTAATTAACTTTAAAATCGGTTTGTAAATTTAAAATATTAAAATTATTTTTCTTTATTTCATTGTATACATGTAGTTCTTCTAAAAATGAATTAGGGTTATTTTCTAAAACACGTTTAGCGAAATTTGAATTAAGTGCAGTTTTTTAAAATTTTATATCTAAAATGTGTTCTTTATATCTTATTTAAAATTTATATTTATCTTACCAATATAAAATTGATTACAGTTATATTTAAGTTTATATATAAATCAGCATTTTCAAAAGAAGGGGGATTGTGAAGGTTGATTAAATTTTTATTAGTCTTAAAAACGATTTTTACATTATTTTAATTATTGTTCAGAATTTAGCGAATTCATTAGATATATTATTTTGATATTTTATGCTACAACATTAATTTTGATGAGTTATGTATTACTTTTTCTTTAATAAGTTTATGAATTTTTTTAATAATATTTACATTGAAATAATTTCTATGGGCTATATTATAGATAATATTGAGCTCGTGTTGATAATTATATTTATTTAATGAAATGCCAATAGAATATTGAACTAAACAATGATATTTTTTGAGAATAAGGATGATTAGAATCATATGGTAATAAAGCATCAGTTTGTATAGGTTTCCTGTAAATACTTAAATCAAATTTATCTTTTATTATGGAAACTGTAAGATCTAAGAAATTAAATTTATTATTTATTTGTATTTTGACTGTAAATTGAATGTTTTATTTATTTTGTTTAAGTGGTTAATTAAATTATCTGCTAAGTATCATCAACATATCCATAATATGCTTTTATATATGGACTGTATATTTATTGTTAATATTATTATTTGGTTTCATAATTTTACATGTAAATTTCAGATAAAAGAGCACTTAAAGTTCCATCCTTAACTAACCCTTCTTTTTATGAATATAATTTATTATTACATTGGAAATTACATATGATTAATAATTATATTTATTGAATAAATAATTTCTTGTACTACGTTTGTATTAAATTTATAACTACGTAATAGTTTATTTTTTAAAATATTTACGTTTTCATGTTTAGGAATGGATGTAATGGATATAAATTGTTGACGTCAATATAAATCATTTTGTAATCTGGCTAAATATTAATTTTATTAATTTTATCAATAAAAATAAGTGTTTTTTTTTTTATAGAAGTATCAGTATTCATGTTTAATTTTTCTTTTATAAGAGTCTAAACATTTATAAAAGTTATAAGCTATAACAATTTTAAACTTAATTAATGGACGAATCGGATTACCTTTTTTCTGTAATTTTATGAATAGATTCAGTTGGCTCATATGTTTAGTTTTGAATATTATTATTTATAAAGTCTCATTTTTTTTTAAGAATTTCAATAGTATAAATGATAACAATAGCATTATATTTATGTATCGGAACTGTTTCTGAATTATTTGATTTTAATTTATTCATGTTGTTAATAATTGTATTTTGTCGTTTAGCTATACTATTAGTTAAACTGCTAGCATTAACTTGACAGTGCAAAATTGGAAATTGACTCGCCAGTTTTAATAATGGCTGACAAAACTTGAAAGTTGTGAAAAAATTAAGCGACAAATTTGTTAAATGGGTAGGATTAATATCTATTAATGTTGTGTTAGGCAGTTCACACGTGCATATAAATCGTACTATGAAGTTAATAAGACCTCAATAAAATTATGGCTCCCTGAAATAGAAATGAAGTTTTCTCTCGGAAACTGTTTGGTTACAAATTGTTTGATGTTGGTTACAATAAATTACTAAAAGGTTACTAAATTTTTGAATTGGTTCGAAGTTGATAAGACAAAGTCAGGAGCTACGTGAAGTTAGCCCCCCAAAATAAAAATTGAGATTTTTCATAAACTGTTTGTTTACAAATTGTTTGATGTCGCTTACAATAAATTACTAAAAGGTTACTAAATTTTGAAATTAAATCGATAAGACAGAGTCGGGGACCGACTTCACAGACGTTATTTTTAGTGCATATACTTCCGGGCCCTATAGTTATTACACGTTCGAAACGTGTAGTAGGTTAGTCGTTTCCGTGTAAATTGAATTTTAGTCTGTACAAACTTGTTAGTCAGTTTTAATATTGTAATCCGGATCCCATCACAAACAGTTATATGCTGTGTATTGTACGGATTTAAAAGATTTTTCACATTTCCTGGAATTTAACGAAAAACTCATTACGTTTTGTTGCTATCCGACGAATAACCATTTGTTCGGAAACTGAATACATTAATTCAATACCTACGTAGTCAAAATCCGCATTAACAATTAAAAGGAAATACACACGTTAATAGCGTCTTTAGTCGGGTCCTTGTTTTAGACAAACAACAATAATGTGCAGCAAGCCAGTAAATCATATACCAACCAAAAACTGCTGCACTGTCAAAACACGAAAAAATATGCAATATTTTTTAAGTTTACCTACCTTAGAATACAATAGTCGCAATGATTCGCTGTATAGTTTTATGATCGGTGAAGTCAGCAGTGAAGTTCGGCTTACACGAAGCCTGCAGTCACATACGTTATCTAATAAACAATAATCAATGAATTAAATTAATGATTTTAGAGAACACAATATTACTAAAGAATTTTTTTTTAAAATTCTAAGCAAAGTATATAGTGTATTAGTTTTCGAATGAAGTGTGTTTTTGTTTAAACAAATTTTCATGAAAATTAAGAAAACCAAAAAAGTCGACAAATACAATTTTACTAACTTGAAAATTAAGCTTGAACTTAAATTTGGTTTAAAGATGTGGTAAAATTTTCAAAACATTTTAGCCAATTTTGAGCTAATTAAATACATTTTAATTTCATGAGTTTTCACTAATACTTATTTGGTAAGCGTTCTTGGTAGACCAAATGTTTGAACATTTAATAAGTTTTTTATAAGTTGTACTCAGTAGTCGACAGGAAAAAATTGAAATTAATAAAGTACTTTTTTTTACAAGAATATTAACATCAATTGTTTTTTTTTTTTTTGTTATTCTGTGAAAAAAATTCTCCCTATAGACCGGAATACTTTTAATAGCACTTTGTAGAAGCGGACCGATTTTTAAAAAACATTGCGTCGTTTTAAGATATTTAAATATTTAAATATTTTGTTTTAACTGTATGATGTTAGTGATCGTTATTATTATTGTTGTTATTTTTTTTCGTATGTGAATAACTTCGTTTATTGTTAGTTAAGCTACGGTAAGAATCATTTTTCGTCTCAAACGGTTTATCGTTGGATATTAATATCTTTTATTTCATATATGGGCCGGTATAGAAATCAATTTAAATAATAATATTACAGCGGTAATAAAATATTAGGTATTTTAAAATGAGCTGGTTTTCAATACTATTGGTATGGCTCAATTGTGTCGTTGCACACATCAGTATACATAAAGAAATTTAACTTACTCACTTTCCACTTTCTCACATATGACAGTGGCTTACTTACTAACACTGTCTTGTTCCTGTACGATTAACGCAACGACGGTGCTCGAAACCGCCGCAAAGGACTGGGCTTTTTTTTTTTTTACATATTTTAATATACCAAATATTACAGTTCTTACAACAAACTTTCATTGGTTCGTTTTCTTACATATTTCTAATTAAAGATCTATAAATGGAATATTTTTTAATTATGGAAATATACAGGGTGATCAATCTATTTTAAGACATTTAAACTTTATAATGACTGAGACTGAGACTGAAGTTTATAATAATAGTGATAATACTGTACATTTAAACTTATAAATTAATGTAACCAATTAACAAATCACACCTATTTGAACAATTGTCTTAAATTTTGAGTAAAATAAAAACAAAAAAATTATTTTTTTGTATTATAAATATTATTGTAGTTATTGATGAAGGTTAAAGATGAATTAGTAATTAATATACAAAATTATTATACATAACTTAGGTTATTAATATAAGATATATACACTAATGATTAAATTCAATTGAGACAATTGTTATAACTGATAATTTCTGATCACTTGTGGGAAAAAAAATTGTATACAGTATAAAACGTGTACGACTAATAGTCTTATACGTTTTATACAAACGCATAATACGTATTTTATACAAACGTATAATACGTATTTTATGCTTTACTGTATTATACGTTCCAACCCTGACAATTATCGATGATTATTGTAACTAATACTTAATCTATTTATAGGTTTTTTAATAAAGGTTTTCATTAGAAAATCAAAAGTAGGTAGTGGTTTTACCCCTAAAAATAAGAGAGACGAAAAATAATATAAATATAAAATATTATAGAACAGCTTGTTTCTTAAATATTTTAGAAAATAACTACCAGAAAAAGGTAATACTTTCCGAAATAATGAGTGTCTTATAATAGATTGATCACCCTTTATAATAATCATCGATAATTGCCAGAGTTGGAACGTATAATACAGTAAAGTACAAAATACGTATAAAACTATTAGTTGTTTATGTTTTAAAATGTATACAATTTTTTTTTTTTGCCACAAGTGAACAGAGTTATAAGGCAAAATAATTGAATTAAATCATCAGTGTATATATCATATATTAATTACCTAAGATATATGTAATAATTTTTTATATAAACTACTAGTTCATCTTAAACCTTTATCAATAACTACATTAATATTTATAATACTAAAAGATAATCTGTTTTGCTTTTATTTTATTCTAAATTTAAGACAATTTATCAAATTAATGTGATTTGTTAATTGGTTATATTAATTTATAAGTTTAAACGCTTATTAAAATTTAAAATGTACAATATTATACGTTTATACATATAAAACGTTTTATTCGCTTATATTACCAACCCTGATAATTGTACAATGAGTACAAAACAGAGACAGTCCCGAGACGATGGTATCACATATAAGTGTAATCACTCAATACGTATTATTATTTCTTTTAAGCATGTCACTATTGTTACGGAGTCTATCCTTCATGTGTAAAGTTTGTCAATTATAAATTAAGAATTCCGCGCGACAAGATATAACATCGGTTGTCGCATTAAGTATACGCACGTCAAGGATATTAATACGGGTGTGGTAAACTAACGACGTTCCTATGCAGCAACGGATGATACGTGTTTATGGGCAAAAGGGAAAATGTCTCCGAATACGGATCAAGTGTCACCAGTAGACAATGGCAACAGTCTCCACCACCACCTAGGCCCCGATCGAGGCGACAACCATATATAAGGAGACCGGAATCATCACCGAGGGGAACTTGAACTCAGTCAGAAGTCGTGACAGCTACACCACTACCGACGCACGATAAGGAGGAGCACAGTCATCTCGACACCAAACCGTCCAGTCATTCCTTTAGTGTAGTTGTACCTAATAATTACAACTAAGTATTTACCCGGGATTGGTGTCAAAGGTTTTTCACTTATAAATACAACTTGTCAACTGTGTTTTGTTCAAATTCTAATAAAAATCCGTTTGTAGACCTAATACACGTGTACATCTTCCTATTGAAAGGCTGTGTCCGAACAGCCCGTAAAACCATTATGAACTTTCCGCGTATCGACACCCGTAGAGAACTTTCTGGTATTGGATGTGTAGGATAATAATATGTTAGTGTAGGCACTAAAATTGACGATTTTACCGATTGTCCGTTTTAATGTAAATAAATCAAAAAATACGGGGTTGGTAAAGGGAGGAAGGTGAAGTATTTGGTGCATTTTTTGCTAGTGGTTAAAGTAGAAAAAACTTCGAGTGCAGACTATATGTATATCTTATAAAAATTGAGGGGCAAATGAAGCGCTATTTAGTTGGACATTTAAAATATGTTTCTCACACACGCATTATCCTACACATCCATCATATTATTATGACCGCGTTATAAGTAATACAAGTTTAATAACTCTCAACACTAACGATTTACGCGTACAGTTTCTTTAAACTTTACAAAACTAAAACCAATTACAAGAACAAACGATCATTGGTTTTACAATATTGTTTTTTTTTTAATGCTATGTGCGAAAATTCTATCAGAGTTTAGGCACTTATCCTATCCGAGTAAATTTTCCTCGGGTGTGGGTGGCACTTAAGAACAAACGAGAAATTGTAAATATTACGGCCTTTTAAAACTTGTATAAACCAACTCTACTCAGAATCGTTTTTCGTTATCAATGATTATTTGTTGTGAACAAAAATACATGAAATTCCCCTCTATATTTTTCTCAACTTACAGATATCCAAGACACCCTAGACATCCAACCGTATGGCCCATTTCCTTCATCCTCCCCCCCCCCTAAAACCAATGTAGTTTGTCTTAAATCCTGTTTTCCTTGTGTACCTATATTACGTGGCAAGAATATAACCTATACCTAATATTACACCCGTATGTCGGAAAACGACAATGATAGTAATAGTTATAATAATAATAATAACACACCAAGCACGAAATTTCGAATAAGCATAATGATTTTATTACCAATTTTGCAATACAACGACGGGTCGCGGATGGATGATGGGCTGCCTCCGTCGACTGTATAGGAAAATCGGGTAACGGTTGGCTGGCTGGACCGGATCGGATTGGAATTCCGTAATCTGCGAGCCGTCGGCGACGGCGGAGACGGTCTGTGCGATAAGCGCGAGCAGCACACCTACGGACTGTAAAAGGTCAACTAATTCGCGGCCAAGTCGAAAACGCGGGCGCCTCTACGAACGCACGCGTGTGACGTCATGCGTCGTAGGCGTGTAGGCGGTGCCCAAAGAGTCTGCCCGTAAAATACCCCGAAAGTATTCTTTCCCCGGCACCGCGATCGTGTATTTTACCCGGCGAACGCATAATTTCGTCCTATACGCTGAGCGTCACGTCCTCATAAACAAAAAAATCTAGAGCTCTAGGCACGAGACTATAAATTTTTAGGACCAGCCCGACCCGTCCACCGATCAAAAAAACCCGGCCAAGCGTTAACCGATATTTTTTAACCCAGTCTACAGCCCCCCTCACCACCAGGTTTAATTTAAATTCCAGGTATATAAGAGCCCTATTATTTACAATTATTATTAAATTAGTTATAGTTTACCATTTTATTTAAAATTTGTTTTTTCTTTCACTAACTAGTTGCCACGCTTACCAATATCTACTAACTAACTGAAAAGCCTGGCCCGGCACACTGCTCATTTATGATACCCAAGTTCACCGAAATTTAAATCAATAATATGAATATCTCATTTAGATCGTATCGATTTCGAAAAATATACCTTCTGGCTTTATATACGCGCTTAAAAATAAAGTAAATTTGAATTTAAAAAGAAAATAGTAACGTAAATAATAGATTTGATAAAAAGGCCAAGGGGGAGATTTATCTCCTTGGTCCTTCATAAACACGCCACGTTTTTTATCATAATAATAATTGTTAATTTTAGTATTTATATTATAACAAATTAATTTGTCCACATTTTCACAATATGATTTTATACTTGACTGTCGTATAACAAATATTTGAACAGAAAACTTCAATAAATTAAAGTTGGACATACTTCACACGTGGGTGGGCTACTGTTATTGTATGTGAAAAGTTGAAAGGTAAGATACAGAAAAAAAACATATATGTATATCTGTGTGTATAATTTGTTAGTGACAATTAATTATTTCTAATAAAAAAACGATTCTGAGCAGTGTTCAGTTAATGGTATTACTATGTCAACAATATTTATGTCATATTATTGTTAAATAATTACACATGAATTATATATTTTCTTTAGTAATATTTGTTTAATGTTGAACCTGTATTCCTGTGTTACCTCTGGTTTTTCTCATTTATTATGAAAACTATTGGAAAATAAAAAAAATGATCTCCCTAATGTACCATCATTGTCAGATTTCCTTTCACAGAAAGTGCTATTATTGTAAATCGGAGCAAAATTGATGGTAGAAAAATTGTACACATACAAAAAAAAAATAATATAAATAAACACCATTGTAAAACCAATAAATTCCTAACACTGCACAAGTTCTACCAGGCACGGATCCAGTACAAAGATCTGGGGTGGCCCCAGCAATTTTTTTACCACACAAATATAATTAAAATATAATAATTATATTATACTGTAATTAATATTATGTTATCATTTGTCATACATTCCTGTGATTAGAATATAGTAATATCAGAATCTATTGTGAAACAAATTGGAGAAATGTTATGTCTGGGAGGGGGACCTAAATCCGTCTTTGAAATCTACAACGGACATGATACGATCGCGTGCGTTTTGGATACAAGTACGACTGCACGCGAAATTGGAAGCGACGTGGCCAAGTTTATCTCATATAAATATTACAAAAATATTTCAGTCGGTAAATAATACATTTTTAAATCATAAATTTACATATAAAACAAATTATACTATGCTTTTTAAATCTCCTAAAATTACTATTAGTATTAAAACACTAAAGACTACATGATAAAAGACAAATCATACCGTAAAAAAAAAAAAAAAAACCCATTAAATTTAGTAATTTACATTGAGAAAATAATTAAAAAAAGTTTGACAAGCATTTTCTTTATTAGAACATGAATTGAAATAAAGTGTAGTTTAATTTTAAAACCCCTATACCCATCCCTTGCTGATTACGTCTTATGTACCTTTCATATTATAACTGTTGCTCATTTAATAATATATACATTAATATATATGTATATTGTTTTTACTATAGGTGCGAAACAGAATGGAATAAATAAGAGTATTTAGCTGTGAAAAGTGATCATAATCGCAGAGACCATAAAATAGAATAGAAATATAATAGAAATCACCGGATATCCAAGTTGTCATCGGTACCGACGACCTAGAGAAGGTAAAATGGTTTTTTTTGAAAGCGTTTTCTTTTGTCATTACACTCATATGCATTACGCATACTCGACCAGTGTAATTATCTGTGTATGTGTACCACTTCATATTATGAGAGATATCCAAGATATAGCTACACGACGAACATCAAACACGATACTGTGGTTACAATAGGATAGACATCATTTTGCGATATTGTATATTCCTTTTCTAGAAAAAAAAAATTGAAACATAAACAATATAAAAACAAGAAAAATGTATAGATTTTAGATTCTGAGTGTAGAGTAGAAGCTTATGATTTTAAAAAGATGTTTAATTTTTTTCCTGTGGAAAAATTTTCTACCAGAAATTTTGCTCCAACTTATAATAATAGAAATTTTTCTACAAGGAAATTTCACTTAAAAGAGGTAATTTTCCGATTTTCTCAACAAATAAAAAAACCGAAAAAAAAAACGAAGAGAAAACGGGAAAATCAGTACATTAAACAAATATAATTAAGGATAATATATATTATTTATTTAATTATTTTACCATTATACGATATGTACATAAATTGTTGACAAAGCATCACTATCAACTGAACTCCACTAAGAATCGTTTTATCTTTAGATATTTTTAATCTTTTCTGACAGATATACGTTAAATTACCTATAACAGTGGCTGCATCTGTCTCCATTATCCTAGGAAGTCTTTTTTTATACATTTTTACAATGTAACAATAATTTTTACTAGAAATCTTGCTTTTATGTAAGTGTAGCAGCTTTCCTGAAAGCAAATTTTCCTATATTGTACATTAGGGAAGTCATTATTAGATTTTACAAGCTATTAATTATTTCATTTTAATTTTCATATTTATTTTATACAGTAGATGTCCTGCGCCCAACGTTTCACGTATTAATTTTTTATTCGTTTTAACTTTTTTTTCATCTATGTTATCATAGATACTCGCACATCACATTGTAACACAACAAGTTATTAAATTATATTAATTTCACTGTAATAACACTGTAATTATGAGTATAGAATACTCTAGTGTTATTAATGTACCGAAAAATATAAAGCTTTAAAGACGACGGTTTAAGTGTTTTCACTCTTCACTTACCCACCCAGTATAGCGCATAGGTTTGTTTTTTTCTTCATCAATGCTACCAAGGTAGCATGTGTAAATGATGAAATAGTGATTAATGATAAATAAGTGTAAATAATAGTAATAATAATAAAAATAACAATAATAGTATTTTTCTTGCCCATGGCAACCTAATTATCATCTATTACCAAGGTAACCCACGAATAAAAACAAAATACTAAGTGGGTATTCTTGTCGCACTCGCAAATATTACAACATAGCTCACGTACATAAAGCTTGGGTTTATAAATGCACACCTGGAACGTGTAACCGGCCACAGTCCATTGGACACGTGAACTTTTAAGAACAGTTTATTCAAACTATTCACTAAAATGAACTGTAAACTAGTGCATTTTTCACGTAAATAAACATCAAACATTTATAATAAACAATAACAATAATAATAAACAATCCATCACCTTTGTAATCGAATTGTATGCATTAGTTTTTATATTCGTTTAGAAGAAACCACACTTGTCTCGATGTGACTATTCAGTAATTGAGGAAGAATCATTATGGTTATTATATTCTTGGATCATTTTTTGTTTTTTTTTAAACTTTTTATTTAAAAGATAAATATAAATATTATATATAATAAAACACACATAGATACACATAACTAATCTATTNACGCGTTAAAAAATAAAATATAATAAGATTTTGTAAATTATAAAATATAACAAAGCGTTGTATTTATCTACGTCTAGAACGTTTTCGCAAAACAATAGTTAACAATAAACAATACAATAAATCGACGAAAAGTACAGAAATTCTAATAAATAATAACAATAAAATAAAATTTCCTATGAGTAAATACTACAATTTTATTAGAATAGAATATAACTATAGGAACTAAAGTAATCGGCACAAAACCTAAAATTAGCTTAAAAAACTTAAGAAAAAAAAAAATCTATTTCCGTAAATACAAATTATTCTTATAATTAAATATACAATCAATTATGCTTTTCAAAACCATAAAATAAGCAATACATAAATTATGCTCACATATTTTCTTCTTTTTTTTTCTTTTCTTTTTTTTTACATATTTTATTTAACATTTCCTACATCTGAGAAAATTATTATTTTGTCTTTCTTCTAGAAGACTGACGATTTTCGTTTACAAAAAAAAAAAGAAAGGTTATTATTATATTATTATTGAGGAATTATGAACGAAACGTA